CACGTGGGGTCTGTGGTTCCTTGGGAATGGATACTACCACTCGGTTATAGGTTACGATCGCGCCAGCCACGGCTGGGGTACCACGGATATATATTGTGTAAGATAAGTATTATATATATATATTATAATATATACGCGCGCACATAAAACAAACGCGCAAACTTTTTTTGATCAATCGACTGACTCTCTGAAAAGAAAAAAAAACACCGTGAAAAGTTCGAATAAAGACTCGTGTGTGTGCACGTACAAATAAACAAAAGATTGAAAAATCAAGATGTGTACGCGAGATACTAAAAATGCGTGGAATATGAGAAAACACAATGACAAAAAAATTTTCCACAAGATAGCGCAGACAATAATGAATTGTAAAATACGAAACGCTGATGGCGGAATCGATACAGCCGTGAGTCTGAATTACAGATTGTTCTTCTGCGCGCGCTTTCCACGTAGTAGTTTACGCCCACCCGATTAGGTGGTGCGTTGAGAACAGAAAATCCGTTCTGATCGAAGTATCCACTACAGCTGCAGCTGTTCCAATTGCGTAGGATTAACAATCGGCGTTCGCAAACTAGCGATTTATATAACAATAAAACACATACGTTGGCGCGACGAGTTTATAAAACATGATATTTGTTCAAAAAAAGAATTTCGAATAATCAATCAATTTTGTATCAATTTTTACATTGATATAAAATAAATATTTATACATGTGCGTGAACAAAATGTGCATTTTCAAAATTATTTAAATCTGCGATGAGATTCAGTTCAAGTTTTCAAGCATTGAATTAAAACGGCAGTAAAAAATTCGTGAAGTACGCGCGCACTTTGAGAATTTTTTAGATTCCTCCTTGTGCCTTCGATTATATATATATAACTACAGAGATTGTCAGATATTCCCGCTTTTCTCATCCTCATAATGTTGTGTAATAAAACGTTAATAGCGCCTTCGTTATTCTAAGTGGCAGAAAAGTGAATCATAAAAGTGAAACAGCTACAATACTTAATGAGGAAAAATAGAGGATAAGTCATACGTCAAATAATATTGACACCTAATGAGACTGTTTATTATATGGAACAAGAGAATCTGAGGAAGCCGCCACCAATGTCTGTTTTTTTTATTCGTAGGCGTCGTAATGTCAGATTTTGTTTTCAACAAATAAAAGCGTTTCGAATCTTCTTTTGGGGCAAATCGAAATATGTACGTTTATAAAGTTTCTGTCTTTATTTGTGTTTAATTTTGTAAATGTATATTTTAATCTAGTGCGACGTATATGTTTTATTCCGTCTGTCTCTTTTTTTTATCTTGTAATGTCGCTCTCTTGTTTTACATTTCACTTTTCCTCTACCTAGACGACGAAGACGCTGTCAATCTCTGTTACAGCACGAAAATACGTGGCAGCAGATCGCAGTTGTGGTCAAAGACTTGCGGGCAAGGAACTCTGCAGATTATTTCCTGAAACACGTGTTGTGAAAGTTTTCGATACGTACCTGTTCTACACGATTTCTGTATTACCAGCGATACGTACATCAGCATACCATCAGAACTTTCAGGATCCAGACAGCAAAGAAAGACGAAAAGACATCTTAAAGATGTCTAAGAGACAATAAGACGTTTTTAAGTCGTTTTTAAGTCGTTTTTTAGAGACAGAGTGCTGTCTGGAAAGGTTCCATCTGTAGAGAAGACAATTTACAAGCAGATCCAAAATAAAGAAAAAAATTAAAAATCTTCTATTTATTTCAATATTTTCAAACACATAACATTAAATATTATTATATAATTTGTTTAAGAAACACGCTCTTTTCTCACTTGAATTGTCTCGCTGATAGTTCGATAGTTTCATACATATTTTTATGAAACGTACCTCTCTTTGTTTTTTGTGCTTTGTGTATATATTGATAAAAAAAAAAGAAACACTTCGCTCTCAATAAAATATATTAATTGATAAATTTCTATTCTTTCCACACATCTATATTGTTAAAATTAAAGTGTGATAAAAAATACATACATATCAAAATTAAAGTTTGTTGGTTTGACGTCGACATTTTTCTTGTATATTTTTCAAGTAGTTCCATACAGCTCAGTCTGAAATATAGATTTGTTAAAGCATTTTTTGTTTTGTGTCGCGATCAATCAAGTTACGAGAGACTTACCTCTGCACATCTCGTTGCACGAGTTTATATTATGTTCCTTCCAAAAAAAAAAGAAAACAAAAAAAAAACAAAATCAAAACGTAAATCAGAGAGTATGCAAAGGTTCGGGAGAGATTCATGCACGATTACAGCTGTGCTGATAAATGGCTCTAGCATGCCCTTAACCCTTTCTCATTCTCTCACTCTTTCTCTCACTGTCTCTCCCTCTCTTCTTCCTTCCCCCCATCCCTCCCCTCTCTCTCTCTCTCTCTCTCTCTCTCTCTCTCACACTCTGCTCTACATGGTTCTTAAGAGGGATTACCACGTGAAGAAAGAAGCAGGGGATCGAAGGTTGAGAAATTTGTGCGTTTATTAGTAAAGACAACGTTCGAGCAATCTCACCGCTTAATTTCATCGACGATGCCGACGCAAAGCCTCCGGAAGCCACGTTGGAGTCCTAAAATGACAACAGCTTTGCCGTTTGGAGACAGGAGAGGAAAGAGCGAAGAACGTTCGCGATTTTTCACTCAATGTCCGTATCACAAAATTTTCCATATCACATTTTTTTTTCTCTGTTGCGACGACGACTCCCTTGCATAAAAGTCGCGCGCAACAAATAAGAATTACAAAAAAAACCGCCTACACGAGAGAGTTTACACTAATAATAACAGTATATAACGATATACATGATGTGTTAAATATAGCGTCACACACATAAAAAAACATCAGTCAACGATAATATTGCGTTTAACGAGTCTTAAAGAAACATCTAGCTATTTATACGTGGTCTCGTGTGTGTTATCGCTCCGTCCTCTCCTCTCTCTAGTTCTTCTAATCGCGCGATATCATCTCATTGCTTTGAGACTTTCATTGTATTCACGTTTTCGTCGTCTTCCTCGCTTCGGTGTCGCGTGTGCACGGCCTCATCATCGATATTTAAGATCGACTAGATTACCAGTCCGTTTTTTCGTTTTCGAGCGTGACGGGCGGACGGGCTGCCCTCGCGTCGAACAAAGAATCGAAGATTTAAAAAGAATCTGTTTAACTCACTCGCATTCTCTCTCATTCTTTGTTTTTAATATCACACACGCTCGCACTTCGCACCTATGTGGAACATAGCACATAATTTTCTGTATATTTATATATATATATATTTTTTTTTTCTCTCTTCTCTCATATATATATATATATATATATATATATATATATATATATNATATATATATATATATATATATATATATATATATATATATATATATGTATATATATATGTATATATATATATATTATTTATATATTTATATTTATATAATCATTAAGTTTTTTTTCGTTCATTATATGCCTATCTATATGTTATCTACAGGGCAGTAGCCACAAACTGACCGCTTGTGCTGTCCGCTCGCGACGATGCCGACGATGCTTCGGTTATTTTCTTTGACTAGAGACACGCGCGCGCCCATGTATAATTTTTTTTTTTTTCGTTCTCCCGATCGTCATCCTCGGGAGAGCACGTGCGTCTTTTGTGTGTTATATATTGTATCATATATATGTATATACATATATATATATATATGTGTGTGTGTGTGTGTATGTGTGTATATAATATACATATATATGTATATGATTAACATGCCCGCTTGTCGCGAAGTGTATCTGTAATTCTCTAAATGTGGAGAGATCGCGCTGGCGCCGCGATGCGCTCGAACTTTCTTCCGTTCTCTCGGTTGACAACCAAGAAAAAAAAAATAAAAAATAAATAAATAAATAAACGTCTCACACATGTCGCGAAAACTAGTTAAACTACCGAAACTCGAGGTACTGATTGTGCTGGCGAGAATAACTATAACAACAATAACAACAACAATAACGAAAAACAGACATTGGACCGACCTACATGGGCTTCGTCATTTTTTTTCTGAAGGGTCTTATTTCCTATTATATACAGTCAGAAGCGCGTGCGATCGATCTGACTACTTGAAACCAAAAAATTTCTTTCAATCGATGCGACGTGCGTCCTCATATGTAACGCACACATCCCCTAATATATATATATGTATAATTGTATTTTGTTAAAAACAAAACAAATGCGTAACGAATATGTTATGCGAACGAAGCGCCGCTCTTTTTTGTCCGAAATAAAAACCTTGATTTTTTCCCGATGCGCGAAAACGAGATATTTGCTAGCAGTAGCAATAGATTTACATCTAACATCCATTTTCGCGAAACTTGCGTCTGACGTACTATAATCGCAGTATGTAAAGTAAATCTGGGAAGGAGATTATCTTATATCGAGCGCTAAGTTTATGATACTTAACATTACAAGCATTTCCTTCCCCATCACGTTACTCTTAGCGTGTTTTTTTTTTTTTTTCGCATTTTAATATAACGTGTTAACTTATCTGGGAATAAATTCTCCAGCATTTAACGTTACTCGTTGCTGCTGTCAAACGCATTTGCCCTGCAATAAATCTCAGATGTAAACCCTGGCATTTTGCGCGAGATCTCTGAAGACGGATCCGAAGCCGATTATCGTTCGTGGGAAAAGTGCGATCGGTCGAAGCGCATCGCGGCCAAGAGGAAATTTTTCAGCGGCGAACAGACGCCGCGGCGCGAATAATGCCACTTTTTTGGGCTCTTTTTCGATCGTGACAGCGCGCGTTGCTCGTCAATTAAATTTTTTTTTACTAGATTCTCTTATGCCACATACTTTAATACGTAATTAATTAACGCTAAAACAATCCGCGACGCGACGCCTTGCCGCTTCTTCGCATCAGCGCCCACTTTCTCTTCTTCTTTCGTGTTTTCTCCTCTTTTTCTTTTTTGGTTTTTTTTTTTTTTTTTTTTTTTTTTTTTTCGCCATCTTTTAACGTTTTCAGTCCAATTTGTGACGCGTCACAGCCTCGATTTCGCGCGAGTTCGAGGAGACTCTACGTAGTTATATTTTCTCGTGCTTAGGCCGTCTTCCATGATCACGCGTTTCCGTTCGCGTTTCCGCGTGACGATGATTAAGTTTTTTTTTTATTTTTATTTTTTACACGAGCATACAGATTTGTTTACCGGAAGCCTCACGCTTTAGAGTAAACTAATCATCAGTTGAGGCGATACATCTTAGACGTTAGAGTAAAACTGCGACTGTGTACGCGTGGATACATGAATGTACGTGTGTGTGTGTGTGTGTATGTGTGTGTGTGTGTGTGCGTGCGTGCGTTTGTACGGTCGTGTGCGCGTTCGGTAGTGTCGATTGGAGTGTATCCTGCTTGTTTTTTGTTCCTATCTTTAGTTTTTTTTTGTTGCTATCTTTTTTTGTTTCCTATCGTCTGATTAACTGACTTCGACACGCACGTTGGATTATTAAATGTTTTCGCTGGCAGTAGCTCAGTCTTCGCTGTGGGGATGACGTACCCAGAGAAATGACGAAATATCCCCGTCCACCGGCAACCCGTAATACCCGCGATGGAAGCAAACGCCAAAGAACTTTGACGCGCAGAATGCTCGGAAGAAGACACACAACCACCTTCTTATCCTCCTTTCCCTCTTTCTCGACATCATTTTCCTACGTATATTATTCTTTTTTTTCTTTTTTTTTTTTTTAAACCTTCGTGTGTGTGCGTGTGTGTTTTGTTTTGTTGATAAATGCAGTTTTTTTCGCGCGATCTCTGTTCTTCCCGGAGGAGAAAGACTCTCTGTCTGGATCACCGGCGATTGTAGAAAAAGTACGAGCGATAAAAAATACGTTACATTATGTTATGTTACGATACGTTACCCTGAAGTTACATCGGGCTGTATATTATGACGATGATTCGATTTGTATAACTGTGAAAAAGAGAAACGTCGCGGAAAAGAGAAAGAGAGAGAGAGAGAGAGAGAGTGAGAGAGAGAGAGAGAAAAAAAAAAAGAGAGAGAGAGAAAGAGCAAACGGCAAAGTTCGATCTTGAGCAGATTAAACCTATCTTTCGCGAGGACACGCGACACACTTATCTCGGCGCGTCCTCGCTACGCGCGTTATCTTAAGATCACAGGAAACACACGATCGACTAAGATGCGTCCGGGGCGGGGGAAGTGCGTCTTGAGGGAAAAATGAGAGTAGTTTATTTATTTTTTTTTTTGTTTTTGTTTTATAACGCTTGAGAGACATCTCCTCACACGAAAGAGCGTTGCTGCTCGCGGGATTTGCTGGGCGGACACGTAGTAACTATGGCGGCGATTATCGTCATCGCGTCGACCGAACGCATCAAATAGGTCATTCTACTATATTACATTTCGTATTTTTTTTTCTTTTTTTTTTTTCGTATCGAATCGAATGGTCAATCTTTTTTTTGTTATTTTTTTATTTTCAGAGAGTGCTGCGAATTTAATTGGAATCACATATCTTTCACGTTCAACGCGCGTGAATCCGATCGATTGAAAAAAAAAAATATATATATATACATATATATATATATATGGTCGCAAGTGTTTGTTTAAAGGTTTTTTTCAACATTCGCCGCGAAATAAAGAGAGATGTAGATATATTTTATAAATGTACTGGATTGTATAAATCGTAATAAGTTATGTGAGTTCGGATCAAATTCGCTGGTTTTTAAGCCGAGAAGAGCGAAAGGAAGGACGAAAGTTCGTGCGAGAGCCCGATTCGACATCCGCAAGCTGCTGAGCTACAACAACAACAACAACAACAACGAGGGAAGATCGCAAGGCTCGAAGATCGATGGACTCGGTGGGATGGGCGGTGTTCGCATATGATGTCCACGCCATCCCCGAGCGATCGCGTGACTTTTTTTTCTTTTTTTTTTCTTGCTTTTTATTTTCCCCGGCTACGATCTGTCGTGCCGCGTGCTTTGCACCGAGTTTCTGGAAGTGGAACGCCGCGATCCGTGATCTGCGCGACCGACCACGATCTCGTCGCACGTTCAGTCCGTCATCATGATTATTATCGCGTCGTAATCTGGCTCGCGTGTGCAATCGCGAGCGCGATTATATGGCCCCGTTGCGCCTTCGCGTGGAAGAGCGAATCACTCGAACAAGCTCCTGGCTTCCGATTCGACGCGAGCGCTAGGAGACTCGTCGTACACCCGACGGTGGATGAATCTTTCACGATCCTGAGGAAGGAGATCAGCTTCATCGGCCATATATCGTTCGCACGGGCGATTCGTCGTTCTTGACGGAGGCTCGCAAGTCCTTGTCGAACGTTTTTTCGGCCGATCAACGCGTGTGTGTGCCTCGGTGGAAACTACTTTATTAATTTTTGAAGATCTTGGTCCGCGCCCCCGATATCCCTAAACCCGTCAATCACGATTACGTTGCGCCCTTCTTGCCCTTCGTTTTCCCGCCGCTGTGCTCCTGCCCGGCGCTCGGGCTCGGCGGTCCGCTGCTGTTCAGTCTGGCCGCCCTCCGGTAAATCTCGCTGTTCACGAAGCGAGGATACGAGTCCCGGTGCATGAGGGTGTAGATCTGCTGCTGCGCCTCGTCGAACATGTGCGGCGTAGGCGCCACCATGTTGCGATTCACGACCTCCCGTACTCGCGAATCCAGACTCACCTGCAGGCGAGACAAAATGTAGAAAAAATTATATAAGTTGAGAAAATTTGAATAAAAAAAAAAAAAAAACAAATCTAAATTGCATCGCTCTTATTTGTACGATTGCCAACGATCGTTCAAAGTCACAAACGACGCAAACGATCGTAGATAAATAAAACTTGTTCTGAGAATTGTGAGCTGTAATGTGTGTGTGAGGTGCGCGCGCGATCTTATCTCGCGAAATTATCTGCGCAATTGCAATAATTTGCGGACGTGTAATATACAATTTGCCGTAATGTTCAAATGGTAAAAGATGGCTTTAGTCGTGGCATTTGCCCCGTTTGGACAGCCGATAGGTCGTTAAGGGAGTCACCGGGTCACTGGGTCAGTAGGTTAATACGAGGGAAAAGTCAGTCACAATTTCGCATTCGCGCAGTTTTACTCGAGAAAAAAAAAAAAAAAAACAAGAACGGAAATTTTATAACGGCAAAACAAAGGCGGCCTCGCCTCGTCTTTGTTCAAAACTGCAACACTTTAATTTTGTTGCCTCATTTTTCTAATTCCGCCGCGCTCCGCGGCGTGTACTCCCGGGTTTTCACACCCGATAAAATGGCGTAATTAGATAATGCATCCTATAACATTATCGATTCCGTCGTCAAAGCTAACAGCTCCGGGTAGAGAGAGAGAGAGAGAGAGAGAGAGAGAGTAGGGTAGGGAATACGTTTTATGTTATGAAATGTATGATGCATCGCGCACCGGCTAGTCAAAGCGGCAGATACCGATCGCGCTGCGACACACTGCGTATGCCATTATATATTATAGCTAAATAGACAGTTACATTAGAAATTCTGTTTGTGTGTGTGTGTGTGTGTGTGTGTGTGTGTGTGTGTGTGTGTGTGTGTACAGATTGATGATTATCTCTCCAATGTAATAATGTAACGCGTTTTTCGTGGCAAGTAACAATTTTTTATCGCATTAAAAAAAAAATCACGTTAAATACTAATGAGACGACTCGTTCAACATATAAATAAACTATCAACATGCTACTCTGTTTTTCAATTTTGCACGGCTTACTACGAATAACAATTGGACGCATAAAAAATTCTGTTTGTGCGCGAGCGCGTACAGATTGATGATTATCTGATAACACGAGTTTTTCGTGACAAATAACAATTTTTTTATCGTATTTAAATAAAAGTCACGTTAAATACCGAGATGACTCGTTAAACATATAAATAAGTATCGACATACGTTGTTTTACAATATTGCACGGTTTAATAAAAAAAAAAATAATATTTCTGAAAAAAAAACTGGATGCTTTGTTATACGAGCGATTACTCACTTCCTTCGGCGAAAGTATGGATATGTAATCCTCGTAAATGAAGCGCGCCTGCTCCTCGATCCTCTCGAGATTCGTTTCCTTCTTGAGCTGCTCGCAGGCGAGCCAGAAAGCGATGTTTTCCTCGCTGTACTCGCTCACGAGGAACTCCCTGAAGAGGTTGCGACCTGCGGTGCTTTTCATCAGCTTGTCGAAGGACGCGCCCCACGACCGAATTTCCTCCAAGCTGCCCTCGTGGCCGTCATGTCCGTCGAGACCGTTACCCGCACCTGCACCCGAAAGATCGCCACCGCTGATGCCGCCGCTGTGCTCGCCGCTGCTAGCGTTGCCCTTCTTCTTGCTCTGATCGCTCGCGCCCGTCGAGTTACCGCCGATCGCCGCCAAACTGAGAGACGACACATCACATATTTGACCCGTCGTTTATCGTTTCTCGTAAACAAGATTAATCGATATCTATTCGTGTTGTAATTGTAATCATGCAAAGAGATTTCGTTGATAACAACGTTTTTTTTTTTTTTTACGCTGGACACGAGCACGACGGAAAGCAACACATGCGACACACATTTCAACGCGAAAAGGTAATAAAATGAGAAAAGCAAAGTCTGCAGTCTCGGGAATGAGAAAATAAAATAAAAAAGCCACGAGAAAATAAAAAGCGAACGAAATGCGAGAGAAGGGAAAGGAACATGTGATTCTCTATCGAGATACGATAATGGGCGACTCTAACGCGCGATCGTTGGAATAGCTAATTTAGTTTGGAGCCGCGGAAAACGTGTGAGACACAAAGAGATGTGAAAAAGTCGGCATCGAACCGAGAGAGAAAATATTACTCGTGTCAATAACAGACACCAACAGAACCGGGTCATTGGAAGGCCGATTCTTTGTGCTTGATGACGCGGCTGTTCCATAACGTTTGCGAACCACAACTGCGGAAATAAACGACGTTCTAAACGGTTTGCAGATAACGAAAAAATTACTCTCTTTCTCTCTCTCTCTCTCTCTCTCTGTCTCTGTGTCTCTCAGCTACGGTCGCGTAATTTATTATTACACAGACCTACGTTTTTATATTTGCGAAACATTGCATTGTGCGAGCAAAAGTAAGAAAATAATTTGGCAAGTCCGAATTTTTGTGTCATATTTTTCGCATGTTCCGCGAACATGGCGGATAACTTTGTGCGTGTCGGGAACAAATTTTATTTCATATTTCAAACAACACGCGAAAAAAGAAGCGGCTTGAACGAAGAAGAAAGAAAGGCACGTATGTGCGTCGACTGAAAAAATACAGCGCAAACGAACGCGAAAAATCTCTCGTTCGTTGTTATCATTATACTGTTTGTTATAAAACTGTTTGTGTGTGATATCTTCTTTCGGAAAGAGAGAAATGTTTTTGTTTAATATTTTTGTGTATTGACAAAACTTATGTATTTTTCAAAAACTTGCAAATAATAAAATGTGAATTTCCTTCTCTCTCAAATCGAGTTTTGAACGACTGTCATCTCGCGCGCGTGTGTTTAAGACTTTTAAGGATCAAGGAAAAGTAGAACGCGTTGCGCAACATGCGGCAAGCAGGAAAATTTCTGAGATGTGTCGCGCATACACATACCGAGAGGTTGTTTTTTGAGACAGTTTTAACACAATTTTTTTTTTGTCTTCCCGATGTACGGGAGTGACAAAAAAAAAACACCCGTCGTGCCGTGTATACAGTTCCGCGTATTTCCGCGTTGAAAATTCAAGGAAACGACGCTCGCATCTAAGATCGTCTTTCGGGTCGATGCCAGCCCGGAATGAATAGGCTATTCGCGTCTAATCTGCAAAGATGGGTCGCGAGGAGGAAGGACGCGTGGTATGTGCATAACCCCGTTTCTGAGAGCCGTAATACGTGCATTATGATAGCATCGTCATCGACATAACAAACAAGCAGCATTAACGCACACAGTCCGTGGCCTGCTTACCATGAATTCCTACTCGTGGCATGAAACACAGAAAGGCAATATATGTAGAGATACGTCTGCGTATATGTACGGCATTAAATGGATCACATACACACACACACACACGCAGAGTTTAAAAGACAATGGACCGATATCGTTTCAATGACCGAGAGAGGTTCGGTAGATGAGGAGGTAAGCGCGAAAATAGCCGCGGTGATAACGATAATAGCGCGCGGCTCTCATCTATCTCTCGCGCCGGTGATTACAATGAGAACTCTTTTGTGCTAATTCGCTTTGTCAGCAGCTCGCGGTTAGCAGACAGCAAGAAGCCGCCTTACGCGCGAGATTCAGAGAATCTACTACTACCACCACTACCTTTGTGCTCATTAACGATTTGTCCATTGCCGTGTGAAAAAAAAAAAAAAAAAAAATCGAATAAAACGCTTCGTACATCAGTGCGCTATCCTCTTCGCGTTACAAAATGACACATTATTGTAATAGAAAAAAAAAAAAAAAAAAGAAAATAACATATGTTTCAAGTCAAACAAATAAAAGATTTGGAGAACATTTCTTAATTCTTGTGTCTATAAATTTTAAAATGGAGTAAAAAAAAAACATAAAATAGGTGTAAAAACAACTGCTGCCTTCGGGGTTTCTGTGTGAGCAAGCGTTTTTCCCTGGGATCGATCGCATCGATGTACGAGGTGCGAGTGAGCAGGATCGATAATACCACGAGCAACTGCAGCAACAGCACCAGCACAGGCAACAGTTGTCCTTCTTCGAACGACCAATTAATCCGGCCGTCTGACGTTGTTGCTGCGACTGCTGCTGCGAGGCGGACGCCTGTTGCTGTTGCTGCTGCGACTGCTGTTGCTGCTGCTGAGACGATGACTGCGGATTGCTGTGCTGCATCGCGGACCCCGTGGTCTGGCTTTGGTTCTGCGCACGGAGGCGGCAACCACCAGCTATACCCTCGCCGCCTGTCCCGTGACTAACGCCGATCCCCATTGCAGTTGCACCGAGACCGCTCGACATCTGCAAGCGATATCCGCTCTCTGAATTCGCGCGCATCACGTGCGAACAAGTTTATCCCGAGAAAGATACTAAGAATAGAGATCTATTAAATCAGCGTGACACAACAGGCCACTTGTCGGCTCTTCTTGTGTTTTCACTAGCTTGTTTGGCAACATTGAGACGACGACATTGAGACTTTTTGTTTTTACAAACATGAAATCTTTCTCGCATGAACATCAACAATGTGTGTGCTTTTTAATACAGATCTGCGGGGAGCTAATACCGTATCTCTCGACACTTGTGATAAAGTTTTAAAAATAACATCTCGTAATTATAATAATCTAATATATCGTGCGAGCGATCAAAGGTGTTTTATCACGTTCGGTATCTACGTGTCGATTTTGTTTTCTAAAATATTAAAAAATCGTTTCTATTTTATTTTTCATCGTAAAGAGAAAAAACATTGTTCCCGCTTGGACGAAAATTAAAATATTTAACATTCAATATGCAGGTAATCAAGTCCTACTGTAAAATAATCTATTTGTTTGAAATTTCGGAAAAACGTGACAATCGGCTGGCGCGCGCGCATCGATCGTCGTTTGAGCTTCAATCAAAGTTTTAATCGGATAGTAGCGCACCACGACGTCAAGAATATACATTAAGTACATGAAGTTGCGTTTAATCATTATTGCAGAAAAGCCAAACAAAATTTTAATTGGACAGGATAGGATAGAGAGCTCTTTTTTTTTTTTTTTTTTTTTATTGTTCTCTCGAATAAGTAACAGACACACAAATAAAAACAATTCACACAGTTTGAAATATAAAGAACTCATGCAGATTTGTATGCGAGGAAATTTCCGACGCTGTGTGATAATTGACATAATCTTTCAAAAGCAGCCAATTAGCTCGAATACGATTGTCGTACGCTCAGTTGCACGTATCGATTGACTCGTATTTTCAGCATGGCCCGGCGGTATCGAAGCGATATCGAAGTGAGAGAGAGAGAGAGAAAGAGAGAGAGAGAGAGAGAGAGAGAGACATGTAGCCAGAAAATTTATTATTCTTCCGTTTGCCATATTCAGCTCTCTCTCTCTCTCTCTCTCTCTCTCTCTCTGCCCGAGAGGTCTCTGGTATTATTTAAAATTCATGATCACTCCCAGACGACTGAGCCGATCGATATTGGATTCTTGAAGAAAGAGTCTGAAGAGAGGATTAAACCCTTAATGACATATTTAAGAACGATCTCAATTCGAAATCAGTACGTGCCTGATCCTTTCCTAGCTAAATTTTCACCGTCTAAATCGCACCAAACCCCATAATGCCCTAATTCTCAAAGCGCAAATCGATCGACGACCACGTTTCTGTTTTCGCATCGACATCTCTCTTTTCTCTTTTCCAAAGTATTTCGGATTTGTTCAAGAGCGCGCGAGATGCGATATTTTATTCATTAAAATCGGAATAAAGCATCCTTGAGTCGCGCGCGCGCGCGCGCACGTGTGTGCGTTGAAGATCAGGTTTAATATATAATGTACAATTCACGATATTTCTCTTCTCGGTGTCTCGTATATCCTTTCTGTTTTATTGAGGCTGAACGCAAGAAAAATACGTTCGTGAAAAAATGAACAAGAATCCACTCGTCGACTTCGTTCCAGTTCTCTCGTGATATAAATTTCGCGAGAAAAAAAATATATTCGGCGCGGCCTGTCTATTCTCTTGTTCGGACACACAAAAAAGAGATTCGCGAAATGCAATTTGTTTTTTTTTTTTTTTTTTTTTTCGTACGTCTGCATTCGTACGAACCTTTACACCACGTCACGTGTATCGATGACCCGATCGGTGAGTTCGCGCGATAACGACTCTATCGGATTGCGGACTCTGCGGGATGTGGGCAGCAATTGATAAACAGCGGAGCACTGCCGCGAAGCGTACACGTGTAAGCCGCAAGTAAACGTGACGGCACGTACGAATTGAGTATCGCGCGAAGACGAGGAAGACGGGAAAATGAGGAAAAGAGCTAGATACGTGAATAAATGGGAAGAAAAGGAAGTCGGAAAACGGAGGCGATCGCGGGGGTTCCAAGAGCGAGGCAATTTAATCGCTTATAGCGCGCGATAAATCAAACGTGGATTTACGCGAGCGCGGCAATTTGGCGCGGTCGGGAAATGAGAGGCGTAAGAGGAGGCGGGTAGGCCGGAAATCGAAAAGAGACGACCACGCGCAAAAACCGCGTTTGGAGCAGCTGGCTCGTAAAAACACGCTACCGTTTATACACACACACACACACAGTGCGAATTCCAATCCGATATCTTCGGAAATCGTATCTCTCTCTCTCTCTCTCTCTCTGAAAACGGTACTACTCCCGGGTTACGACGATGTAACGATGTAAATTTCGCTAAACTCGAGACGCGATTTGTTTTGGCAGACAATGTGGAAAAACAAGCCGTTGCTTACGAGGAACATCGAGAAATTTAGAAAACACTTGGAGCTAAACTGCAAGCTGTAAATTTTACATATCGATACATTGGACGTGATAACACCGAACGCTATTGATAACATACAAAACGATATGCAAGTATATTATTTTTTTCAAGCGAGATCTGTGCGCATCGTTATCTAAAATTTAATAATCGATTTATATAATAACGTATAATCATCGCAAATAATTTTGTAAAATAACAAATACATCATTTAGTTACGTTAATTATTATCGATTTCGTTTGTTGTTTTTATCCTTAATGGATTGATAGATACGGATTTACAATGGGGGCGTAAAGAGAACGTGCGCAATTTTGACACGCGGGTGATTGATCTTCTCGCGTAACTTTGAACATGAGCTTCGTCGTCGTATCTTCAATCGCGCGGCCGCCGAGGTGCGTTTTGAAAACGACCGAAACGGCAATAGTGTTTACGCACAGCTGCGTGTCAACATGTCAATGGCCGAATGGCGTGTTGGCTTCATGCGGCACGCAATCGCGGAGCACGTGCATCTGCAACCCCTCTTCCCCTTCTCCTCCCCCTCCTCCCCCGCTCTTGTGTATCTTCCGCCGATAATTTACGTAAATTTACTTTGATCAAGAAATGTACGCGCTTATATAAATTGCATCTATGATTTATATCCTCGCGCGTGCGTGTGAATATATGTACCGCGCGAACGATAATACCCCGCATTTCTAGCCGGATTTTAACCGGGCGATAATAGAACTTTCTGTTCATTATCTGTATCTATGTGTAATATCAGAAGTTAATTTACAATAATCCAATCCCAATATTGGAGATAATAATTCAAACGCGGGTGAATGCGATCGATTTTCGATATCCAACTTAGCCTCATCATTTTATACGCGTGTGTCTAAATTAGAAAAGACTAATAAACTGCGGAAAAACTGTGTCATTATATGATATTAATATAACGGGATTTTTTTCTAGAATTTACACGAACTCTCCGAATACGTTCAAAGAGTATCCACTTGGAGAGTAATTCCAACAACAAAGTAAAAATATACATATATTTTATATATTTTTTTATATTTCTCTAGATACTAATTATGAAATAATTCGTCCAAGTTTGTAGTAAAAAACACACATATATATATATGTACTAATGTTCTAGTCCACTACTACATGTGAAATTACAAACACCTTACAATAAAAAAATCAGCGCGACTCCGTAATTATATTCCGTGCTGACTGTGTGGTTAAAAATCCTTTCTAAGACGAGGTAGCAACACATTAGGAACACGAGCAAACATCGATCCCCGCTCACCTCTATCATGTTCCATGCGCCCAAAAGCGAGTCCAGCTCGCTTCCCGCGTCCTCAAGATTGGTCTAATCGGCGCGTGGTCGGCGTGACGCCAAGGTGCGGGGGTGCGGGTGCGGGCACGGACGCGAGGGGCACCGTGCCCGCGTTCGCAAGTGTCCCTCCCGATACGCGATCGTCCCTTTAGCCCGGTCCTCCCGCGGAGCCGCCTCGCCGGGCCTCGCCCGAAGGCCGCATGCTCCCTGCACACGCACCCAGTCTCAGCCCTCAACCGAACCGCGAAACAAGACCAGAGCGCGTCCCTAAACTTTCAGGGACTCGGCGAGCGGACACATTAGGTACGCGGCACCACCACGTCAATCAACCGACCGATCTGGTTCCTGGCCTCGCGATCGGGCGAGGTGTTGCTGCTACCACCGACGACGATGGCGACGTCGCGCGACGACACTGAATAACGGAGCCGAACGAGCGAAGGGTTACATCGTCGAGGTCGCGCATGATAGTTCGCCCATTTCCCGCTCCTTCTTCCGTTTCTCTTCCTGTTGCTGCCGATTCCTGTTGGTCGTTTCCTGGTTGACCCCCTTCGCTCGTACCACGATATTACATCACCTTCCACCACCGTCGTCACCCTCACGCGGCGCCCACCACTCCTCTCTCTCTCGTCAGGACAACCGCGCGCGCGGATCGACTGATCGTCGTCGGTCGGCCGAGTCACGGTGGGTAGGAGAGAAAGGGAGAACGCGACAGAGACGAGAGTGCGCGGATGCGAGACTCGTCGCGGAGAAGAATAGCGAAGCGGAGGTCCTTCGCTGTCGATGGCGTCCGCTCTCTCACAAGGGTGGGCGCGATACGATCGGGCAGGCTTTGTCGCGCTTCAAGAAGAGATACACGGACTCTGTATCTATTATCGGATTCCGATAATCCGTCCGTTTGATCAGCAAACTAGGACCGAGATCCTTGAACCTTAGGACGATCACGACGACAAGGACATCACGCACGCGATCGACCCATTACGCGATTTAAAGGCGCGGTCGCGTCACGCTCGCGATCTCCGGCTGGCGTAGGTGGCCGTGTGATGCGGCGTTCAGTTTCGTCCTCCGTTACTTTTGACGGAATTATAAATAGGTATTCGCGCCTCTCTCTTTCTCTCTCTCTCTCTCTCCCCCTCTCTCTCTCTCTCTCTCTCTCTTTTTCTGTTAGATGATGATGCGCGCGAGCGCTTAGCGCGGCCAGTTTAAGTGCTGTTGTTTCGCCGGCACGGATCGCTGCTGGATGCTGTGATCGCTACGTCTCTCTTGTTGCTGATGTTGCTGATCGTGTTGCTGACAGGTGCCGTGGTATTTAATCGCGCACGCGCAGGCGCGGAAGAAGGCGAGAAAGAGAGAGAGAAAAAAGGAAAGACGATGAAAGAAAATAAAGGAAAAATACCTATACAATAGTTCGGTGAAAGAGAGGAAGATAGAAAGTAAGGGTGAGAGAGAGAGAGAGAGAGAGAAAGAGAGAGAGAGAGAGAGAAGGAGAAAGAGGACGGGAGAGAGGGAAAGCGAGTGCGAGAAACGTAAGCGAGTCGATGCGCTGTTATTGATTGGCAGAAGTTGTGAGTAGTAGAAGAAACGAACCAGCGACGCTGTCACGCCGGCAAGGTAGACTACTAAACAATAGTTGATTACAAGATTTTCTCTCGCAGACTGTTGATTGTTTGTTAGTTTCTCGGAAGACTTTGCGGCCGAATTTTGTTCTTCGAGATCGATTGGATAAGGAAAGACTGTTTTTTTTAAAGGAAGATTCAGGCTTTCTCAGGAAAATAATGTGCTTAAGTGTTAAGGATGGAAGGTTGGTTCTTGGTCCTCTTATATTAATCTTGAATCTTTACGCAATTGTCCAACGGCAAGAAGTTCAAAAATCTGGGAAAAAAACTTGTCGATTGACGCAAAGGTATGTGCAGCGCGGAAAGATCGATAGGAGCATTCGAATGCACCACTGAGATCCCTCTCTCTTTCTCTCTCTCTCGGTTAATCGCGCGGTTATCCGGAACACGTATGTCACTCGAGAACGCACGCGTGTTGTATCTTATCTCTCTTTACGTATCCTTCTTTCTCCCAGTTCTCTCTTTTTCTCACTGCAATGCAACCGATGCCGCGTCGAAGGCGTAACACGGAATTATCGCGCGTGTCCTCTCTCCTCGCCTCCCTGTTTTTTTTTTTTTTTTTTTCCGAGCGGACTATCACTTTGCTCTCGCTCCACTTTCGACGCGTGTCCCTCGTTATCACACCGGGCCGACAGGTCGGTAAACGTCACGGGGGCTTTTAAAAGCTCCACGACCCGCGAGGAGCTGTCGTCGGCCACTCGTTTTTCCGTAGTTTGGCCAATATGGCGGTTACACGCGCTTACACGGTGCCTTGGCCACCACTGCCTGCTCGTCTCGCGGACGATTCCAGCGACGCCGACGCGAGGCGTCGCGATGCGAAGCTATCCAGCGCGAACGTTTCTCCGCAGACCGTCGCCGCCGACGCCGACGCCGACGCCGCCGCCGCAGTTGCCGATCACGCCGACGCTAACACCGACGCCACCATTATACAACGCCGACGCGGTCGAGCCATCGGCCGGCGTACACCGAGCGACCACCGGGAGAACTCATGCTCGATGATCCTGCGTGCGAATGACCCGTTGATGTTTTCGCGATCTATTACTGTCATCAAAACGACGTCATTACGATAACTTTGACAGTCGCGAAAACGAAAATCCACGGAGATTTATACGCGGAATGACGGAGAAATACTAAAAATCGAACAAGTGTTATACCGTAATAAAATAATAAAATCTAATTGAAACAAAATAAGAGAGAATAAAAATATGACAGCTAGATTAATTATTATTTACTAAACGTTCTTATTGTTAGATTTTTATGCTGATTGATTGATTGATCAAAAAGCACTTTGTTATTAAGCGCCTCGGGATAAATCCCCTCAAGCGCAACGTGCTCAAAAGATAACAAGCAATGTGTGAAATAATACACAAAAGAACAATAAAAAAAAAACAAGTAAAGAAAATATTAAACAAATTAAGAGAACAATAAAGCATAAGAAAAAAAACAAATTAAAGCTGAACATTTAAGACTTAACAGATAATCAAAGAATTCATTTCTAAAAATATCAGCAGGTGCTGAGAAAGAAAATTAATTATTTGGTATATAATTTAAAAAATTGGAAGATTAATTTCTAATATTATACAGGTAAGAATTGTGTTTTAACAGACAGAGTGCTGTAATCATCAAAAAGCCTCTCAAACATTTATACCGCGTAATAATGGAACATTGAGTAAACAAAAAAAAAAAAAAAAGCTGTCACGTATATAACGAGAATTATCAATTCTAGGAATTATGACTCATTATACGTTTGTCTCATTTATTGAAACGGTGTATTCGGAATAATCACGTGAGTTTTCCTCGTTGCTGAATTTAACTCATGCAAATGCGTTTGTTCAATATTTGAGTTTAACACGTTTTTCATCCTTTTGTATTTTAACGTGAATAAAATATTACTTCAACGTACTGTCGATTGTTTTATAAACAGACTGTAAGATCTATTGCTGTAAATAAGCTTCGAGACGAGATAGCTTTCATCGAGGACTGTAGTCATTAACACGTTGTCTCAATATATACTTCGTATATTACGTAGCGCAGACAATAATAGATTAATAAGCAGCTACTACTATATACGCGCGCACACACATATATACGTACATAAATAAATGATGTAAGAACTATAAGAAAGCAAAATATGCACATTTGTGGCGACAATGTTGCAAAGATATTTTCGCAAATTATGTACATACATATATAAAGCCTCCTTTCCCTCAATATAATTATAAATATCTACCGTATTCTGAGAAGAGACCTGTGTTTGCAAAAATAAATTTATGCCAGCTTTATCGCGAGAGAGCGATAGTCCCACGCTAAAAGATTTTTATGGAAATATACTTTCCACTTGCTGTGTGTGTTTCAGGAATATTATGTTTTCGTGCTAAAAATCTCATTTACTCCCGCCGTCCTTGGCACCATCGCCGGTTTTTTAGCGGCTTTTAAGTTAAGTAGTTCCGCGTTTGTAGCGAGCACGAGAGCGCGGGAACGTCTTTCTCGCGCGCGCAAAAATGTACCATCCTCGTCTTTCCGCTCGCACGACGTACGATCGATCCCGCACGACCGTGGCCAATACCAGAACTATCGTCATCCCTCCGTCAGTTTTTTCCGCCTCTCGCGTCTACATAAGGAAGAGACGCGACATGGAAGCGAGTGTGTAAGGGAATGTCTGAAGGGGGCGAGAATCAATACGTCGCCTGCGGCGGCAGCATCCTCCTCCCTCTCTTTCTCCGTCGATGCATTTCGCCACCGCTCGTAAATAGCGAGGAGATGCTACGAGATGAGGATGCAGGTTCGGCTCTCGCTGAATGACTCTCGCGCATCCGCGCGCGCGGTGCGGCCTCCGGTCGGACGATAACGAAGCGACAGGCCGCTGAAAGTTAATTTCGAACCCGCGTCACGGAACGTTACACATGGTAACGCCGAGCGGAATGTAAATGAAGGTTGCCCCGGAGCGCCTGGGATACAGCACACCTCGTGCTCGGTAGAGAACCCGTCGGGAATGCCGACCAGAACTCAGAACAGTCGGTTCAATCGAATGCCTGCTTATCGGTAGAAGTCAGTCCCTCTGATAGTGGCAAATATTTGTCTCGTGCGTGTAAACATTTTTCACCTACGCGTCGTTGAATATTTTGTCTCAGAAGTCTGTTTCTAAGCAGCAAATTCTTACGCGATGAAATTATTTCTGTGTTAGAAACGCACGCTGTGCTCTTGTTCAACGTGTCGATCAAAGAATATGATAAAAAAAAAAAATAAATAAATAAATAAAAACTTCTTATATGTAATATTTTTAAATAAAATTGCTCTTTCATACACGTAATATTTTGCAATAAGTGAGAAAGCTAGATGGAGTATAAAACTGAAAACTTGGATTTTAGTTTTGCCTAAGAATTCGGCAAGAAGATTTTACTTTTCGACTTTGTCTTTTGTTGAAAAACTGGTACCTGTTTTTCTTCCCAGGATATACAAAGAATAAGGCAACTTTGAAACTGCAGGAAGCCTAGATGTTTAAAAAAGGAGAGAGGGAACTTCCTTTCTGCATTGTTTCCGATGATAACGGTCAAAAATTTACGACTTCGGTTTCTGTCCCTTTTGAGATCCCTGCGGTGGGGTAACAAAAAAGAGGAAAAGGGAAAGTTACAAGTAATAGGAAACCAGGCATAAGAAAATACAAAGGCGCTAAGTTATGCGGGAAATCGCACGTTCTAACCGGTTTTTCGAGATCTATCTCAAAATTTTCGTACTTTTCAACATACTTCATTCTGCATGCGTTAAAACATATTTTAATTTACTTTTCAAATGTAATTCTAAACATTTGTTAATTTTAACATAAAATTTTCTTCTACCGTGATTCGCTTCTACAGTAGTAAACATAGTTCGCTGCTGTACTGACTGACTGACTAAGCCGCGAACACGTGGAAGGACAAACGCACACGAAGAAGCTTCGCTCGTACGAGTGTTCTTCGCGCTTTTTAATTATTTTTTAATATTACATTCGTTATATTTTTAGCGCAAAAATTTCGTCTTATATCGTCATTGCTTTCAGAACTATAGTTCGCTGCTATGGTTAACATAAGTCGTAAACACGTGACATAAGTTGCAAGAACAGATGGACGGGGGAAGCTTCTCCTATTGCGAGCTGTGTGGGTGTTGCGTACGTGTGCGCGCGCATGTATATGTATGTGTGTGTGTATCCGTGCCTGTTTAGAAACGGTGCTGTTTCTATCGTCACCGATGTGTGATAGGTTGTCTGATGGTGGGAGGGTAGGGAAGAGGAGTTAGAACAGGCTCTTCTACCCCCCCCTAATACTGGAGGATTGAATGGGTGGAGGGTGGTATTGGGTTCTCTCACCCCACTTCCACCACCCACATGCCCACCCCAACCCGCTTGCTGCCTGAGCCACCCACTTCTGTCCGCCTGCCACCCCGCCTGCCCACCCACTCCCAACCCGACAGCCGAGGAGGAAACAACCAGCAACGGACCCAACCAGTACGGTTTACGACAACCGAATTTCTTTTCACTACATCTTGTACGAGAGGTGAGTAGTTGGAAAGATACACTTCTGTTCTCTTCATGTGACCGTGCTATCCATTGCGCAGTGTGGTGAACCGCGTTCAAGTAGGTATCATCGTCGTCTTGTGTCCGATGTCGTACTCGTCCGTTATCCGTGATATCACTTCCGATCCAGTGTCTTTGCCGGATACGTTTCCTCTCCTCGATGTATCTATCGTGATTCTTCCGCTAAATTGCGCGCCGAGAACGAACGATCGGGAGAAAGTGCAAAGTGGGAGAGAAGAGAGACGAAGTAGTGCGGGCGGAGTGAGAACCGAATGCGAGAGCGATTCCGAATGACGGCGAACGAGAGCGAGGAGAAGAGAGGCCACTGCCGCCGTGTATTGTGTATATCGCGAATAGGCCGCGTATATACCTATTCGAGACGCGCGGGTTGTATGTGCGAAGTCTCTCTATGCCCGTGTGCTCGTCGGTGTTCGATGGATAGCGGCGCCGCGAAGCGAAAGAAAGAGAGAGAGATAGAGAGAGAGAGATACATATATATATATATATATAGAAAGCGAACGAGAGAAAGAGAGAGAAAGAGAAAGTCAGCGTGTGTTCTGCTCCGAGAGCGCGCGTGTGCACAAGGGCGGTCGTCGCGGTGCAGCGCGATATCATGCTGAGAGCGCGGATGATTATGCCGCGGGTGTGCGTGGTCGACAGGCCGGCCTTCGCCTTTTTCATTACGTGTGCGCGCGTACGCCACGGAGAGACGACGATGCTGCAACGACGACGATGCGACCACAACGCTTCTGCGTGCTTCGTCGCCGGACGGGCAAAGATGAAAGAGAAAGAGAGAGAGAGAGCGCGATGAGAGGAAAGAAGGGATTTTCGAGTCTGGATCGCGCGCACATTAATACGATTGCGAGTACGTTAGGGGAAGTGCTCGATATGTGTCCTTGGTCTCGCCGGGAATAATTTCCAGATGAATTTGAATGGCGCACTGCGCGCGCATCTTATTTCTCTCTTCTTCGTTCGCTCTCTTTCTCTTCCTCTCCCTCACTCTTTGTCACTCTCCTTTCTTTATCTATCTCCTTCTATCTTTTTCAGTCAGGATTGTGTCTCTCCTTTATTTCGGCCGACCGTCGAGTTGCCGCTTCGTATCATCTCTTCCTTTCCCCTCTTTACCCCTCCGGACGCGACTGCTTTGTGGTATGACACAGGGGTTCTCAATCGGTGCAGAAAGTTTCACAACGTAGTCTCTGTAGACACCCTCTACAGTTCCACCATCTGTCGCTTCTGGGGGACGTGCCCTCTATCGGCGACGAAGGGGAATATTGATTTATTCTTCACCCCTCCACGTACCGAACGTTCTTGTTATACCCCTCCGTGTCCGTATACACGGAATGTCGGTGTCTGCACGCATACACACGGCGAAGTTTCCTGCAGGGTTGCTCGTTTCTCCCTCCTAGTCTCACTCAAGCAATAGCACGATCAATACGGCTCATACCTTCCTCATTTTGGATGCTGTCACCATCTGTATCCGAGCGCAACTCCAAGTGAAGAAATGGCAGTTTTTTCATATCAAACTGAATATTATATTGCATGTAATAATTACGTTAAAATTACTTTTATAATTTCATTATTTTTAAAACAACAGCTATTCCGAAAGAACATAAAAAAATCATTTAACACTTTGTAAGAATTTTTACACTAAGTTACTAGATCTAGAGTTTCTTATTATATCATCGTCGTTAGATTTGCTTTATTTTTGAAGCTTAACATTTGCTCATGTATACTTTTATTCGATAATATGTACAATTATTACATACTTACACGAAATTCTCTCTCTCTTTCTCTGTTTCTCTTATACAAAAATATTTAGTAATTTCTCACATTTTAAAGCCTTAAAGTTTTGAATAAATCTTCGTTAATCTTCATGATCGAGGAAAGAGTAATAAGACATACAATTGTATGTAAAACATAGTTTGTTTAAATTAATACGTAGATCACTTTTACATGTGTGACTAACTATTTCGAATCTAATCTCATAGCAGCAGCGTTCCACCAGAGAAGTCGTTAGCGTGTTCGTTATAAAGTTTTGTATACTACACGTTCTCTTCTTCCTCTGCCATATTTGCTCCACATGGTTGGATTTTACGCCCCCGAGAGTTTGAACGTATATTTATTTTCTATTTATGGTAAACACATGGAAAATGTAAAAACAAAGAACGGAACGGTTAAAAAAATTTTATCCAACTTTTTAGATAAACATTATCGAAAATGAAGATTGAAATTGAGAAAGTTTGTTTAAAATCTGAAAATAATTTATTTAACTGCACGTATATAATGACAATTATACACGGTTTTCTATTAATTAATTTTTGTTACAACGTTAGAAATTAAATTTATAATTTAATAAAATTGTATGCGCACAATATTTCACTCTCAAACTAGTGTGCTGTTAGGTTCACTATTATCTCCCTTGAAGTCATAAAATATGTTACAGGCAGAAGAATTTTCTTTGAAATTCAGAATTGAAAGAAAGCAGGTAGACCGGCTTATTCTATCTAGGAGGAATAAAGGAGACCTCCTGTTGTTGTAACATTGAACCATCTCTTGTTACGAGCCTTTAAAATGGAGGGAAACGCATCAATCGGCAGGATGGATTACGAAGATATGTTTAAAGAAATAACGCGAAAGCTTTATGGCGAAGATACACCCGATCACCGAAGTAAGTGAAAAATTATTTGTAAAATTTCAGAAAATTAATTAAAAAATAAAAGTATAATGAGGTGCAAAATATAATGAAAAGCATCCTAGATGAGTTTTCGAAACTGAATTCAGTTGGAATTATTATTACGTGTATTAATTTACATATTTAGATAAATAAAAATTATATTTTGCATGAATATCTAGCACCAATCAGATAATTTTCCACTGATTTGATACTATATGAGCTTAAAAGTTATTGTTAAAAATACAATTATTATATTGTTTGCGTTTGAAATTGAGACTCAAGAAAATTCTAATGTAATCTTCGAATAATTTAAATTAAAATGCAATCTGTTTAAATTACAATGCATTAAAATGTGCTGTAGTGTTAAACAAAAAATAAAACAAAATAAAATTTATTCATTGCAATATTAATAATTCATAAAGCAATACAAAATATTAATGATAAATAAAACAATACCGTTTAACGACAAACATTTATAGTTATAAGATTGCTTTGAATTGTTGATATTATTTTTCTATATAAATTTATCGCGATTTTGTTAACGCAGCATCGAGTGTTCAAAATGAATTTGAAGCATCCGTTTCGTATAAAAACGATGACAATACTGGAAACGGAACAGATAGTTGCGATGACGGCAACTGGATTTTTGAGGAAGAAATGTTCAAAGGAACTGATAGTCGAATCGCTGCTTATCACCCCGGAAAAGCCGCGTGGCGATGTGAAGAATGCGGTAAATACACTACATTGTAAAAGCTTTGCATTGGTAGATTTATTGTTGTGTGTAACATTTTTAGCGTATATAAAAAAAAAATGTAAGCAAGCTGGCACACACATTTAATACCACCGCGTGCTTTTTTTTCTAAAATGCTTTTTTCCCAAGTTATTTTGTTTACGATCTCATAAAGTGTAAGAAAACAACTCGGCGTTATCGAGCTTTACTCTGCAGGTACTACACACACACACACACACACACAACTACATGTACAGCTAATATTCTTTCGGTTGCTTCGTTTTTTCGCTTTCGCTTAGCAAATGCTTCGTAAAAAACACGCTAGTCGAGAGATAAGCGGATATTCATGTGTTATTGCGCGCAGGCAGCCTATGAGATTACTCTCTCTGAGTTTTTGAACGCCTCTATTAAACCTTTAGATAAGCTTAAAGGTCTAGATCAATAGAGTACTTACAATTAGAGTACAGCTGAATAATTTTCTATCCAGCTATGTAAAAAGTTTAAGTGATGCAAGATAAAAATAAATTGATTAGCACACATATGCGTACGTAGGGTAGGATAATGAGAAAAGTTGTTCTTGCTAATTGACGATCCTACGTTTTTTAATGACACGTCAAGCGGCTGCATATAATTGTGATATTCTCGATTATCGAGGAATTTATTTAACGAGATTTACACGTTATTTGAGATTTACACGTCTGATTTTCAGATTTTTGCTCACATCTTTATCTATATATATATTTTTTTTTATTTAAGTTTTTGTTCTCGTTAAATATTTCGTTGTTTTTACACCACAACTATACGCACATTTAATTTGCATACGTAAATCGTTCCACCGTCTTCCGAGACAATAAACAGACAATTTATCAACAGGCGAGATCATGAATGTTATGCCCCGAGAATTCGCCGATCATTTTATGGAAAACCATTCCTCTCGGATTGTGACGGACTGTAGGAACAGACACTCGAGGGTCAGCTACAAGGACCCACAGACGGATTTGACAAGAGAGGAAATAATTTTGTACTTAGAGAAACTGCGAGATAAAGCCGAACGCGATGGACCGAAAGTCCCGTCACGAAGAACTCAGGAAACTCAAACCTTGCCAACACCTTTGTCTCCAGTTACTCCAAATTTTCTATTGCAAGAACTACCATCTACCTCTGTGCCGCAACATTTGCAACAAGTTAGTGAATCGATCTTTATTTTTAATCGATAGAATATTTCTCTTTATGTACATTAGGCTCTTATTTACTCTTAAAAATGTTTTTTTGAATTTTTTTTGCGGCATCCCCGGAAATGGTTTTAATTAAAAAAATAATCTGTGAAAAAGTTCAGCCCGATCAAATAGAGTTAAAGACACTTTTGGGTCCTTGCAAGTTAAAAAAATTATTTGTGCAATTTAAAAACTTATGTTAATGTTTAAAAGCCCAGAAGCTCCTTTTCTCCTTTATTTGAATTGTTTCATAGATTATTTTTTTAGCAATTGGAACCATTTTAGAGGGTGCCGCGAAAAAATTCAGAAACTGAAAATAAGAGCCGTTCAAATATACATATTTAGAATTTATATAAACCTGCAAATTAAAATAATCCGCAATTGTTGCAGAACGCAACCACTGCCAGTTCTGTCATGCAGCCACTTAACAACGCCGGCAAAAGATACAAATGTGATCACTGTAATTACGGCACGGACAGGCGTGATCTCTTTACGAGACACGAGAGCATTCATAAAGACGACAAGCCCTTTCAGTGCGAGGTTTGCAAGAAACCGTTCAACCGAGCTGATCACGTAAAGAAGCATCACGAAAGAATGCACAAAGAGCAGCTGTACGACCCGTCGAAGATACGAGTGCGAGGAAAGGATCAGGATTCGAGCCAGACTCAACAAGCGTCAGTTAGCAACGCGAGCACTCAGCAGCAACCGCATATCAATTATCAAACTGATTTTTCCGCGAACAAAGGATATCAATTACAACCAAACGCTGTAGCATCGAGCTCTGGCACGGGCACTATGAGTATGTACCAAACGCCCGCCATGCCTGCTCCGGACATCATGCAGACCACCGCGAATAATTGCAATAACACCGTTAGACGAGTGCCGAACAGCGGCTGTAACAGCAAAAGTCACTTTAAGGGTAGCTCCAAGAGCACGCAGGATCGTAGGTGAGACAATTTCCCTTCTAATTATTACACACACAACTTATTAATTAACTAAGTAATAAACTTAAATTGTGTTGAATCTGCTTTTTTGCGATTAATTTCATCTGCCGCTGTATTTCTATGGTTTTGTTGTTTCTCTACTTACTATGGATAATGGATGTCAAAGAAAATCATTACAGAATCGTGTCGATTTATAAATTTAAAGGTTCACCTGCATGTATTGTCCTTGGAGCGGTGCTGACAATTGGTGCCTGAAAAGGCACATGCAAACGCACACCAAACCCTTCGAGTGCCCTTTATGCACATACAAGGCAGCTCGCGCTGAGCGACGCGCTACGCACGTGTTAAAGGTGCACAATAGAAGACTGTGTTCTAAGTGTTCATTCATTACGGAAGATACAGCACAATATCAGATGCATTTGTTGCAAGTCCATCAGCAACGCGTCACGAACACAAGCACCTCCTCAACTTTGACTTCACAGTCGGCACCTCCGACTAATGTCCGTCATCAACAACCCCTGCAGTAAGAGTCTTATTTCAATTCTTATTTGTACATAAGTATTAATTTGTCTAACAAAATTTACGATGTTTTTAAGTATAAATTAAATCAAGAAACAAAACTTTGAGAGCCACACGCTGGGACGTACGTGCGAAATATATTTATATAAAATGCTACTTTGCATCACATGTGAATTATTCGTTTAATTCCTCAATTAAATTTAAAAAATTTATTGCGAAAGACAACTTGGCCAGGAGTCGAGTCCGAATTTTTCACGTTGTGGCTCTGAAAGTTCTATTTCTCGATTTGATTTGTTAATTTGTGTATATATCAACTTCTCTACATCTGTTAAATTAGTATTGTTATTGTTGCTGTAAATAAATTGTAAATAACAAAATTACAAACAAGAACGCTTTAAGTTGTTCGATATGCTGTAAATTAATCAATAATAGATAACGATGTGTGTGCTTCGTATAACATAACAACAGACAAAATAGTTAATGCAATAGTGCCAGTAAAACAGTTTGCGCAATAATTTATGTGATTACTTATTAGTCATTATTATTGAATATACAGTGCAGTGGGAGGACGACCGCCACCAGGGCCACCAGTGTTTCCAGCTCCAACGCAGACCATAGCACCTGTAATTGCGTCATCAGCCATGCTCGAGTAAGTGTCATATAATATATGTATATATATATATATATTATTGTTATTATATTATTATTATTATTATTATTGCTGCATGTGAGACTCATGTGTATATTATATATACACATATGTATACACATACACGAGTCTCTTTTGTTTAGTTAATTAATTTTCGCATCCTGTTTCTTAATTTTTTCGGTCAAACCATTAAACGCATAATCAATGGCGCGCAGCATCGAACCTCGAATTCTTTCGTATTTTTTTGTTTTTATTTTCGTTCAACCGATTAATGCGCTCGCTGACGGGTTACGTCACAGATTCGTATTTTAGTTTTCCGCCAACGTTCTCCGGCGATCGGTCTCTCCCGTTATTATTACGAACGATTTATGAAGTTTGATGATATCGCAGATTTTCTTGTCACGGTCACTTTCAATGCGGGATCAGCACCCGTCGATCGTAACCCGTCGATGATGCGTTCAGCGATTCGTCATCTCGCGCGTCACTGTCCACTCCTCCTCCTATGTTTTGTTACGTTCTCGCGTCAATTTTTGGATTATTTTTCGTTAAAAAAAAAAAAAAAAAAAGAAAAAACAAACGAGATCTGTCGATCTCGTGTATCACCATGTGCACGCTTCGTTTGCTTTCGGTGTTTCCGTAGATTACGTGTTTAACGCTGATCGTACCGATCGCGTAAAAACAAACGCACATTTACGCGGGCCTCTATTCTGAACGATGATTTCTCATACGCGCCTCTTTACTTAAACTACAGATATCGAGAGTCACTGAAATAACAGATGCGCGATGACACGGTTGTCGATACGAGCAGACATACAGAATAAAGGCCCAGCTGAATGTGTATCAATACTGCGGTGTATTGATGACCTTTGGAAAAGATAACAAACGCGCTATCAGAAAAAAGAGAAAAGATTTCCGTGCGAGATTTCCTATACAAAATAAAAAAAAAAAAAAAAAACATTAATGCACCGCAGTATAACTTCGTTTAGTTAAACAGTTAGATTTTTTCTTTTAAATCTCTCTCACGTCGTGCTACGACGAACGCTGGTATAGAAAAAAAAATGACGCGAACGTAACTTATGGAACAGTGCCGCGGTGGTTGCAGCCACGAGATGGTAAAATCCCCTGCAACTGCAGCGACCATGGCATATCCAACGGAGGAGGAGAAGCGATTGTACCGTCGCATGAGCGATACCAACGGTAACGGCGACGACGACAACGATGACGACGTCGTGCGAAACACTGGTAACCGCGAGAAACGCAGCTATAATCGTGGCGCGTGTCGCATCTGCGACTTCAAGAACTATATGACGGACGATGATCTTAAAACAGAGAGTTTTCGAACGATAAGAGGATTAGAAATAAAAACGGCGCTAAGTTTAACAATACTTTCACACGCAATTTGACCAGGTTCGCGAATATGTTATCACGGATGATTCAGCAAAACGAGAGAGAGATGTTGCTCATAGGACAGAACAATCGGGAACTATTGGCGAATTCTTCAAGACCCAGCAATCTGGAGGAGAAAGAAAATATGGAGCAACCGAAGAAGAGTAGGAAAAGCAAGCGAAAATCCGATATACCCAAACACGTCCTGTGGCATCAAGATGGGTCGGTGTCCAAATATATACGAATGATACCAGCGCTAGGTTATCGACCTAATGAAGAAAAAACAGAAACTGTAATAAACACAAAATATGGTAAGAAACAAATTACGTATGAATATGATAAAAATCATCGACAAAATGAGAAAGAAGTGATGCGGCGAGGAATGTTGAAATGTTTTTTGTGCCCGAGGGTATCCCCCGCTCGGGCGTTAATCCGACGCGCGTATCACACTAAAACTTCATTGATATTGCACAAATTATGGCGACATAAGCGGAGATCTTCGTCGTTCAACAAGGACGGGTCTTGTGGCTTGTCGGTTGACAATTTGTCATTAACTGCGTCTAAATTGATAATTAAACCAACGTTTTTCACCCCAAATTATAGGTATCGTAGGTGACCTAAATAACAAAAAATGATAAACAAACGAATGACGAAACACGAAGAGACGGAAAAACTATACGATTGGACTTCTATCTATAGGACATGTAAAAGAGGACAAATGTAGAATACGGCAACTCTCGAAAATGGCAACTTTCAGACATTTCTTTCAGACATTTCTTTCACTAAGTACAAAATTTATCCACAATGAAACTGGCACTATTCTAGTTCATCAAGCTTTGTTTTATGGTAACACCGGGGTATGTCACAATTATTTTTATTTTTTTTACTATACTTACTGAATTCGAAATCTCAACTTCAGAATTTTGCTATTACGTCAGAATTTTTAAAGATAATAACAAAATACTGACGAAATGCATTAGTTCCACACATTCTGTGTCTTTCATTTTACTTCAAAGTCTTTATGCAAACTTATATAAAAATCAGGTCAACTCGATGTAAATTACACGACAAAACTTTATATAGAATTTCTCGTTTCCGACGTCATAAATCCACTATGGCTGTACCAAGTATTTAAGAGACAACGTAATTAATACCTTTCTAGGTGGACGGAAAAATTTACTAAATAAGTGGCGAAGTTTATGATTATTTGATATGTATATATCTACATGTAGATTTTAAGTACCGCGCAAAGGGTCTCTTCTTATTTCTCTTATAAATAAATATTTACGCGATCGTATACATCTCTCTACTATTATTACTACACTACTTTATAAAAAGATATTTTGCGATATCTAAAAAGACAGAAAATAAGCGCGAGATAGAAACAATATAAGTAAGTCTTCAATTGAAAGTATTTTGGATATAACTTACGCACCAAAAAAATTGTATTCTCTCAAATTAAGAGACGCGTATATACTTTATTATAAGTTATCTTAACAGTGACAGAGCCGGCGTGTGCGCTGTGCAGGAATACGCGTAGAAAAATAATATGTGTAGAATAGAGTGGCTTTTATTTATTACTCTTAGAAAATTTTTTTTCTCGGCATTCTCTAGAATGTTCCAATTGCTAAAAACTAATCTGTGAAAAAGTTCAATCGGATAAGAAAAAAAGCCCCCTGAGCTTTTAAACAGTAAAAAAAAAATAAATCGATTTTATTTGATATTTTCCAACTTACTGATTACATCAAAAAATATTAAACAAAAAAGAAAATGACCAAATAAAATCGATTTATTATGCATTTAAATAATTTTTTTGACGTTTAAGTAGCTCCTCTTCCCCTTATCCGCTCGGGTTTTTTCACAAATTATTTTTTTAGCAATTGGAATCGTTCTGGAAGATGCCGCAAAACAATTCTAAAGTCGAAAATAAGAGCCACCCCCTAGTGTAGAAAATCAGTTTTGGACGAAATTTCGTTAATTTATTTCACCGGCTGTCACTGTGTTGGTAGATGTTCTTAATGGACGAGAATATTTCCCTCTTTTTTGTGTCAGTGCTTGTAGAATATCTTCCAAAAACAAGAACATATTCTTCAGTCACTGACAAACTGTAAAGATAAACGAACTTCTTATTAAGAATATGTGATACTCAGCTGAGGATTCGTCTCTTAAGACAAGAGAATTAATTCTCTTAGTGCCATTTTAGAAGAGAATATTACATGTAATCATAAGTGAGAAGAATTTTTAGGAGAATACAGTTTTTATTTCTCGAGGTGCGGTAACGTGTAAATAGATTGTTATATTCGCTGCGATACCTTCGACTACACTCTTTCTTAATAAGACATTTGAGAGAGTATAAAATTACTGATTTATATAAACTTACTTTCAGGAAATAAGAGATCCGTGAGGATACCGGCCGAAGAATAATAACGGAGTTGTAGTCTAAACATCCTACTAAAAACACAAATTATTTTTGCTTACATCTTTCAAGAAATCAAAAACCAAAAAAAAACAAAAAAAAAAAAACAAAAAAAAAACAGATTTCGTAACTTTTAGCAAAGTTTTTGACATTGTTATAAAAAATCCGAAATCTCATCAAGCTACAGATATATATCTACGATTAAACATACTTCGACTTGAAACAATGCATACGGTATTACAGACCGTACTTTTATAACAAAAGTTATTTGTATATATATACATATATATATACATACATATATATATATACATGTATGATATTGTATTTACAACGTTATTGTATACGGATTTCTATGAGTATTTTGCTCTATGCGTTTTAACGACTTCATCTTTTTGCCTTTACTAAATATTAAGAAAAAAAAAAAAAAAAGATAAATAAGAAGAAACGGAAATTGAAGAGCAAAGGGGATAAAAACAAAAATGACGAGAAACAAGTTGGATTCTATTTGTAGACTTGTTTCTAACACATTTATGTCAAAAACAATGGCCGCGTTCAGCGAAAATATAGCGCTTTGTGATTACTGTCTACGATTGGCCTATTCGACTGTCGCATATATGAAAGTACATGCCAATGAACGCAGCCGTTGAAATCGTCTGTCGCTTTTATCTGTCTCTTTGCTCTGTTGATCATGACTGTTTTTATAATAAATTTCCGATTGTTTCACGATAAATTTTTTTTTTATTTTTTCAATATTTTTTTATTACTGTCAATTATCTTTTTATTTTTTTTATTTTTATCATCTCTATATACCTCTCTTCTAGCCTTTAATCAAATATTTAAAAGTTTTATCTATCAACTTTTTCCACGTCCATACCGGAAAGAACACAAAGTGTTTGTACAAAAACGTCTCGAAAAATACATGTAAATGTAATTAATGGAAATGTAATAATTGTAAATATGTATGTAATAAAATAGTGTTGCATTTCTTTCTTTTTACACCTTTCCTCTAGATTACACCACCATACAGAGTTCCTTGTAATAATTTTCCTCCAAAATAATTATTAATTAATTAAGGAATAATGTAATTATTTCTTTATAATTACATTATTTCTTTATGTAATTATTTTTTAATTAATAATTTTCCTTCAAAAGACGAAGAAAATAATTTCTATTTTTAATCCTGTGCTGTACTAGTTGCGCTTAATATAATCAGAGTTGATTAAATTAACAATATCAACTTGGGAAGAAATTAAACTTATTAGTTGTGGATATACATATACCGTGAGCGAGAAAAATATCGCATGTCGATACAATGTACACACTCATACATAGGTATGAACACAGAAATGTACAAACGTTGTTGCTGAATTTCAAAAACGTTGAACACAAAAAAACATAAAAATAATCCGTAATGTTTAATAACGTAGAGAATTCTCTCGCGTAATGTTTTAATACAAAGCGAAAATATAACGCAACAAGAGCTAAGGTGTTTCAGAATGGTTGCAAGATAATCTGCCATTAACGAACGTTGAAATAGCATCCATCCCAATAATAAAGAGATCGAATTTAATGAATGCATTTTCAGAAGAGGTACACACACGCGCGCGTCGCGATATGCGCGTGTTGTGCAGAAAAATTATGAGAATATTTAAAAAACTACCCTGCTTTTTGCGTATTATCGTACTGCGCGCGTATCGGAATTTTTATTTTTATTAATACCCTTTTCTCTCGCGCATAAAGAGAAATTACATTTTATCAAAAATAATTTTGCTGTCGAATGATTATCCTTAACGAACCTTCGCTCAGTAATGTAAAACCTTGGGAGCACGGTTGCGAGAACGTCGACCTGATGTCGACAGTCGATAATTGATGAAATCTGAAACCCGGTCGATGCCGCTTTCGTGTTTTCGTTTTGTGGAATAACGTTGAAATTATCAACGGATCCTCTGACAAATCGATTTCAATTAACAGTTATAATTTCTGCGTATAATTTTTTTAAAGAAACACTCGCTAGTCGATATAATCGTTTTGAAATATTTGGAAATTTGTGAATAAACATTTATAATATCCTCTCTGCTCTCTTTTTGAAACTATATATACGCCATCTGAATATGTGTGCGTAAGCATCGTATCGATTTCGAGTAAAGTTTGCGGCGTATATCAGTTAGCGATATCAATCAGGGATGAAAGCTACTGATCAACTTCTATCCCCGCGATGTATTCGAGATCTGAGGACTTGGGAAAGATCGATAACCAAAACGAAACTAGCGCGACGAGCACGACAGATCGACCGCGGAAGGTGAAAAAATCAGATTCGACGAACGGGATTTCACATCGACATGGTGAAAAACGTGTTCTATCGAGTCGGCCACGAAGGGAGTTAATCGCCAGGGCAAATCAGGTTAAAAAAAAAAAGTCACGTAAGCTCGCGTTTCGCTCGGATAACACACACGAATATTCGTATCACTCTCGTTTTACGTGAAAACTTCGTGAACGATTCTCGTTGCGAAAATGCGCGCGATCGATATTTGCGTTTTTATTAACCCTTCCCGGACTTTTCCCTCTCCCGGACACTTTCGTGTCGCGACGAATTAACTTCTCGCGTTTGAAGTGATAATTTTTAAGCATTTTTTTTATGTACGTCCTAAAAGTAGCTTTTACGACCTTTCGTAGTTTTTTGAACGCGGTATTAACGTACAATTAGAAACTCGGAATTAGATCCGTGTGAACGATAATTTGTCGCATTTAGCATAATTGTCAAACCTGTAATTATCTTGTTCGTTCCAATGTTGATTTATTAATATGCGGGACAACGGTACGGACGTAGTAGCTACGTTTAGTACGCGATTAATGACAATCAATTGTTTCATCACCAAACCGGTAAATCAGATAAAACGTGAGAGTCGTGCAGCAATAATGTGTTAAACTTCTGTCTGGATTTATACAGTACTGCAGCTCATATCTCACTGTGCACTTCGCAGCGCGAACATCTACGGTTACTTTACAGCGATCGTTCAATTGTATTACATTGATGTTAGAGTTAAGACATCGTTTACGGGTTCGTTTTATCGCGCAACGATCCTGTATACACGTGAGTTCCTGTACAAGTTCGAAAAGTAAACAAGTAAGCGTTTTGTTCTAGGAAAAAAAAAACTGAGAGACGTACGACTGCAAGACCATTGCGTTTGCCATGACACCCTGAAACAAAAAAAAAATAAAAAGTACGTGTACGCGTCCGCTAAATGTCACGAGTTACTGTGCACGCCGATGTCCAAACATTTGTTGATTCATGGAAGCGGCGATCCGATAAATAAATTTTCACATTATTTACAATCTATATGAAAAAACACTAGCGACTTTTTTTTGTGTGTTATCACACGTCAGATTTTCTCACGAAATTTCTAGTCGCATTTATTAATGCACAATTGTAAGTGCATAATTATTCATAACGCGCTTACACATCGCGTGATTTGCCGTTTTGATAAAAAATTAACCAACAGCGCGAGTATGTAGAAAAAGAGGGAAATAAATTCATTAACAATAAATAAATTTTCTGATTAACTCTTAATTACGTGCGGAAGAGCATCGTAATTGGTGAAATCAAACGTTTAATCTTAAATATGCACATAATTAAAATATCATCATGTGGATAATTCGGAATATTAAACTTTTTAAATAAATTATAAAAATCGATATATACTATATATATGGTAGTCTCTCTCTTCCGTTTTATCATTTTCTCTTTCATAGACAAACAAATATTTCATTCGTTTGACGTCGAAATCGCAGCTGCCAGCATACAAACAAGCGGTCAGCATGTGGCGCGCACGTTTTCATCAAAACGAATCTGTCTTATAATGAAATATCGACAATTTACTTCATTTCCTCACTTATTTGTTCATAACAGCCATTTATGCATGACGAATTAGTGCGTTAATTGATTGATAAATCCGCTGCCCGCTTTATATCTCTTTAATTTGTCATTGTGAAACGGAAATAAACAAAACCGAGCTGTGTCGAAATATCACGCGATAAAATTGCGCCCGACAGTTCGACTTTACGCTTTCGAGGCGCATCTTGCTCGCTTGCGATCGGTGTTCGATGTTCTCAACGTCGTGTGCAACATCGAAATTAATTTCAGTTTAAAGTAGACTCGGGTCAATTGTAACAAAAACCAATTGCGCACCTTCGAACACATAATTAATCTGTTCCAGCGATTAAAAGTCTCGAGTCTCGCGAGAGTGTCGCTTTTTTTTTTTTCCTACCAATCAAACCTGCTCTTTTTCTCTCTTCTGCCACTTTCTACTATTATTTCCGAGTGATATCACTTCGCGGTGATGCTGCCCGCGGCAGTCGATCGTAGCGGGTGATAAATAATTGCCACGTTAATCGCGCGATCAGTTAGAAACACGCGCATGCCAGCGTGCTCGAGCGTGTTCGTGATTTTCTCTCGGATTCCGAGTGTTCTAGCGTGCGCAAACGGGATATTAATCATGTACTTGTCACAAAAGTTTTTCACTTTTCCCTTTTTTACCTTTTCACAAACTTCATATCCAACTTCCAATCCAATCAGATCACGCTCGTTCGCGTCGAGAAATATAGTTACGTGGGATCGCGAGTGAGTTCGATTTTCGTAATCCGCGTGAAAATAATGAGAACGCGTTTTTCTTTCCTCTCTCTCTCTCTCTCTCTCTCTCTCTCTCTCTTTCTCTCGCTGTTTAATGAGAGAAAATTACATGACGTGTCTTCGCGTGGCAATGACTTTTCCGATCTTGATCAGGGGAGAGAACGTCATTACGCAAAATCTATCGCGAAACTTTACTTTGTCGGAGGCGCGAGAGGGGACTGCAAAGTTGCAAGAAGCAACGCGCGGGGCTCGACATGTGTGCGCTCGTCAATTATTTCGCGAAAATTATGCACGCACGTTACGGCGCACCGCGATAACCTCGGTAGCGCGCGTCGCTATTTTACGCGCGAAGAAATTTCATCGCGCTCACGCGAGCGAACGTGTGTAAAGTTAACTTTATGCCGACGTGGCGCGTTATGTCCCGGCGCGATAGCTCGACAGAACGGGGGAGATTTGCGACCGCCCGCTCACAAATCGATTTTGTTCCGTCGGATAAGTCGGCCGTGTAATCAGATGATTAGATTCACATATTAGTGCTAATTTCATTTTACTCTCGTAACACGCAAAACGGGTCTATAGAAGCCCACGCGGCTCGGCAGTTTAGTAACCGCCGAATTACGTTCCGCTATTCGAATTCGCTCGAGCACAGCTCGTTAGCTCTCGCACGCGCGTCTATGAGCTCACGGCTGGTACATAATTCGTCGTTAACACGCCCCTTCGCGCTATTACACTGATCAGCTAACACAATACGATCGTGTTGGTTTTTATTATTCCCCAATTGCTTCCGCACGAAATGCGGAAGAGATCCGAGCTCGATTCCTGGCCAAAATGCCCTTCTTCGCACACAATGGGGTTTTTCTTGGGAGAGAATTAAATTGGATGTTTCGTCGTCTATATGTGAGACCACGTATTCTAGATGAAATAATTTGAATTAAATTGAATACAAGTAATTAGAAACAGTGTATCAGGACAGATGTGAAGCAAACAAACACAAGACAAGAAAACGTGTTGAAACTGGTTTGTACATTTTGAAGAAGATCCAAATGAAGGGATCGAAACGTCTGTATTTTGGTTTCCCATTCAAAAACCACACACGTATATCTCGTGTTTTGGCTCGCATCTAACATTCTGCCCTAACATTTCTGTTTCATGAGCTTATCCAATTGTAAAATTGTTGTATATTAATTAATTGTAGTATATTAATTAATTGTTGTATATTAATTAATTGTTGTATATTAATTAATTGTTGTATATTAATTAACACACTTAACCCCCTTAAATCCCCTTAAACCCCACATTTCATCTCCGTAACCCAACATAAGCCCCACCGGGGG